AGGTAAATGTCAAGATTTGCATGCAAGTGCTCTTCAGTATTTGTTTTAGTGTTTGCTGGTTAAATACTAGATGTTGATGCCCAAGGGTTAAGGTTGGGTTAGGGGTTCTTGTCCAGTGCAGATGAGAGCTGGCAATCAAATACCAGATATCTGAATCCTCATCAGATCTTTATTGCTTGCAAGCAGGAGTCATCCTCAGCTATTATAGCACTTTGTGATAATGCACATATATTCATTGTAGCAGCAGGAAGCACATGATTTCATCAAGCTGTTACTTTACTTTCGGTCAAAACATCTTGTCTTAGGACTCATTGTTCGCCTCCTATCTTCCATCCACCACCAACGCCTACTTCTTACACTCGCCACATATCTCGTTGTTATGCGAAGATACATTATTAACTTTCTCAGAACACACTGACACGCAGACAGAGTGGGACCTCAACCTGCAGGCTAATTTCTTTTGCAGTGAGCTTTTTCCTATTCAGCTTCACAATACATTTTAACAGCACTCCATTACAGACACACAGATACAAGAGTGGTATCGTTCTTCTCATCTAACGCTCAGCAAGAAGGCAATTATGGGTACTTATTTCAGATGGGTAATATTTACAATTCCAGTCTTAAGGACTAGAAGAGGCGGATTCTGTGTTAACATCCATGATGCTTGGCGCTTAACCACAGTCAAATAGGATGGACACTTTTTTTATATGTGAAGATGAGACCATATTATCATCACTAGCTTGTTACTGCTGTTTATTTTCCCCCAGACACAAATTTAAAAAATTCACTGCAGAATTATTTCCTGGGTGTATACATGTATATATGTACACAAATAACTGTATATATTGTTTTATTAGTTTTTTATTCTATACATTATTTAATTATGTAGTAAGAATTGTCGATTAATACTGTGTAACCTATACCTGATGTTTTATCGTTGACACAGTTCAAACAGAGCTTAAGTGCTTGTTTTATAAAAAACTAATCTCATTTGTACTCCTCCTGACCCAAACCCAACCTCACTTGGTCACCAGAAACCTGCCTGACCTCCCTTCCCCTATCATCTCTCTGCTGCCTCAGCCTTTTTTTATGTAAACCTAGCTCCTTCCCTACAAACCCGCACACCTGTCTGCCTTCGTCCCCGCCGCTCCCTCACAGCCCACGTCTTCACCTGTGACCTCCTCTGTTCCCCTCTAACCCCCTGCCTCTCCCTCTCTCCGTCCCCAGCTGTCTCTGCGTGTGAAGGCCTTGAAACGGCAGGTGGACGAGAGCGAGGGTGAAGTGGAGCGCTTGGAGGGAGTCCGCCGGAAGCTTCTCAGAGACTTGGAGGAGCAGCAGGAGCTCCAGGAGGCAATGCATGCCAAAGTCACAGTGCTGGAAACTGAACTGAAGTAAATAATGGTCCCAAATCTGTGAAATAATGTTGATTTTAGATGTTGTTCAGTCACACAAAAAAGAAAGTTACTGTTCCACACACAATGTTAAAACTTTGAGTATTTGACAAGTACCCATATCAATACCATGTGTCTTCTCTACACTAGGTGGCACTGTATAGTAACTAGCTGGACAATGTCTGAGGACTTTAACTTGAGTCAGTGTTTTCAGATTTTCTGTTGTGTGCTTTATCTCAGGCGGAAGTCACAGCAGACACATCGTGTAGCTCTCGGCTTCTCCGCTTTAAGCTCTGAGGATGAGGACGGTTTCTGTGACACCAACATCACCTCCATCCTCAACGAGAGCCACCTACAGACCACCAACTGTTAAAGGAAGATCAGGCATGAATAAAGAGACCTATAAAAAGATTTTTCTTTTCCTCCAGTGCAAACACTTTGTCAGAGAAAGGTACTCAGGGCATCAAGGACTCGCTTGTGAAGAACTCGGTTGCCATGCACTACAAAATTGCCTCGCAGTTGTTCTTGGGTTTTATTTTTAGCACGGCAGTCCAACGGAGACAAGTTGTCAGGATAATTAGATTGCATTTTTTGGAGCCTTCAGCTGTGATTATGATTGCTAGAGTACTGTTGTATTTTAACTATCCTGAGATCTTCTGTTTCCCTGTTGTGTTAAAGAGAAGAGATACAATTACACTTGATGCAAGGTTTAACGTCATGTACTTAAACTTGAATCACGTTTTTAAAAAGGCTCTTTGCTGTGCATTCTTTGTATTGACTATATTTACTGTATAATACTGTGGTAGCACATTACTGTGGCATGGTTTATGTTTAGAGGTCACACACAGCAACTTGGAAATTCAAACCACCTTTAAACCAAAAAAGAACCCCATATATTTTTCTTATTGTTCTTATATCTGTGTTTGCTTGCGCATGATGAGTTACTTTTGTCAGTGTTGTTAGCAGCTCCAAGTGTTTCTTTGTGTATTGAAAGTGATGTTTGTTTGTTTGTTTTTTTACCTTTGAATGTGACAATATTGGGCCATTCAAACTGAGCCTGTATTTTTACACTGTATTAGCCTGTTACTTAAGACAATCAGATATATACGTACAGTAGCACAGTGTGTCCTCAGAGATTAATCCTCTCCCTATAAAGTTTTCTACTTTAACCACCATATTTTTGATGTGGTTTAATATATTGCTACATATATTAAGCTTGATTTGTGTGCATGTTTTCACTCAAATGCCTTAAAAAATTAGCTTCATATCTTTTTTTCTTTATCTATTTTCACTTCATGTTGTCCCCCGCATGTGTTCTGTTTATATGCTGCTGCTGTAATGATTTAAATAGTATTTCATATACTTGCCTGTGCTTGCATCTCCTCTACATTCCTACTGAAAGAATCATCAGATCACATTTCTCTTTGTTACACCTTGCTGTTGTGAATGTTGATTATATTCTTCGAATTACATTTTGATGGTATTACATTTTAAAAATGTCACTTTTCAAATTTCTATTTGGGAAATTACAAGCAATGATGCTATTAAATGTTAAAATATGCAGAGTTTTGTAAGTTTTCCCCAATTTTTTGACAGATATTTTAGATTTTGGTTTGTGTGTACAATAAAAAGAGGTATATTGTATTTTTTTCACCATGTTCTCTCATCTTTGATCTATATTTAATACTGTAAAATATATACTTTTTGGTGTATTTTGGGACATTTTAAGCATTTATAACAGACAGTAGAGAGGTGACAGGAAGGTCCCCAGCTGGACCTGAACCAGGGATGTCCGCAAGTCTGTCCTAAAACAATAATCAGATGCCCAAATGAACACTGGAACAGGTTTTTCTTGCTAGATTCATTCCTCTTGTTCATACTGGACATTAAAAGATCCCTTTAAAGGACCAGTGTGTAAGATTTAGTGACTCGCAGATTGTAACTTGTTTCACCCTCTCTTTACAACCACAAGGGAGACACTACAGTGGCTGTGAAATATGCAAAAAATGCAAACAGCCCTACCTAGAGCTAGTTTTTGGTTTGTCTGTTCTGGGTTACTATAAGTCAGATCAACATGGCGGCCTCCACACAAGATGACCCGTGGCGTCTGTTGATGAAACGTCTCATTCTAAGGTATAATGAAAACACAACTATTCTTATTTGTGATTACCTAGGAATATTTATAATTCATTTCTGCCAATAGATCACTCGCTAAATGTTACACACTGGACCTTTAATGTGCTCTCAATGTAAATGGGGGTCAAACAATCCTCATTTTGTGTAAAAAGTACAAAATCCTCTCTTATTAACATCTTTCTCAACAGGAGAACGAGAGATTTTTTTAAACATCCACTTGACTGAACTACCTCAGGATGCTCATATTAGCTTCAGACAAACTTCTGAATACTTTTTTGCATAGAACTTTAGATGTTCCCCATCCCTTATATTGAAAGCACATTAAAGAGATATTTTAATGGCCAGTATGAACAAGAGGAATGATTAGAGCAATATGGGCACCTGACTGTTGTTTTGAGACATTAATGACTGTGAACCTATTATATACTCCTTTTGCTTTTTCCTTTTATTCCACACATTTGTTAAAAGGCCTCCATTAAACTGTGATATATTGTGAAACTGAAAGAGATTATCTTATTCCCTGCTCCTGTAAAATGAGGATAAGGTGACTTACAGCGCATCACACCAGTTGGCATGATTCATCAGTGATTTCCTAAATGACACTTGTATATGCAGGTCGGATGTTTGAAACTACTTTAAATTGTAACTCATTAAGAATGGTATCCACATGAACCACCTCATCTCAGGGGTGTGATCACTGAGTCATACCTGTGGGCCGTGTGCATCTCTGAGGGAGGTGTGCCAACAGGCCTGAACCCAGTACCAGTGAATTCATCTCTTACTCCTTTACACCAGTAAAGTTCTATTGCACCACTTCAACTCGATGTGTCCAAACAGGGCAATCAACTAGAAGATTTCAAACTCAAAATCTAAAAAGTCCATACATCTATGAATGTAAGACTAAAAATGCTCCCACAGCCCATTAAGAAAGTTTATTTAGCAAATTGATATAAACTGTCAGCCTGAAGTAGAAATCAGTCAGTAACTGGATAGTCTTACAGAAGGAGCTTCTAAGGAAAAAAGAGGTTTTGGCAAATTTCCTTGCTTTTCTTGTTCCAGGAGCTGTCGGGTGCTGCAGGATGTAATGGAAAAACCAAGGTAAGGGCAACATGTCTGCAAATGTTGCACCTGGATGTTGGATTTCAAAAGCACAGGGATTGACAGCAGATGTAACACATACTTCGCATTTACAACAGAAACCAGTTTAAAATATCAGCAAACATGAGGCAAGTTCATACCTTCAGGGATACAGAGAATATGAGATCAAGGCCTGCGGCTTCCCCGCTGTTCTGTCTATGCTGCAAGTTTCACCACTCTTTCTCTTACCACTGTGAACCAATTCAGTCGGCCTGATGGTTTACTGTCAAAGGGAATTTATAGATTGTCAGGAAGTATGGCATCATGCTTATCAGGAGACAAATAAAACAAACGTAATGTAACTGAAAGTCATATTGTGTATTTTACCTGTAGTCTAGAAAGAGAATACTGTATCTTTAGTGTTTTTATTATATCGCAGTAAAATCCTCATAGACTTTTTAGTGGTTAATAATAAATGGACTTGCACTTATATAGTGCTTTTCTACTCTTCCCATCACTCAAAGCGCTTTACCCTACATGTTACATTCACCCATTCACACACTGATGGCAGAGGCTGCCAAGCAAGGTGCCAAATGCTCATTAGAAACTAACAAATCCCATTCACACACTAACACACAGATGGCACAGAAGCCTTGGGAGCAATAAGGGGTTTAGTATTGTGCCTAAAGACACTTTGACATGCAGATGGAGGAGCTGGGAATCACACTGCCAACTTTCTGATCTATTGACCTCCTGAGCAACAGCCACCACACATTATAGTCAATTGTTAACATGCGACTAACTACTTCTGAAGTGTATTACACTATTCAAATTCCTGGAAGTGAAGCCTTAAGCTGTCTTTAAAGGGATAGTTTGTTTTATTTTTAAGTGGAGTTATGAGTAACTCATCCATAGTCAGTGTATTACCTAAAGTAGATGGTGGTCAGCGTGCCTCCAGTTGGAGAAGCAGACAGGAGTACCAGCACAGAAGTCATTATAACGCTCTCCTTAAAGCCACCAGTTTTTTTGACATCAGTTTCAGTTTCTTGTTGTAAAGGTGAAGCAGTGAAAATATTCTAAATATATATCAGATATTTTTAGGCAGGCCTTTTTAGGTGGCTAAAACACACCCATCCACCGCTGTGCATTTCTTAGCTTCTGTGCTGCTACAATACAAGTGCTCATACAACCCCACTTCAAAAAACCCAAACTATCCCTTAAAGTCAAAACACACACAACAAACTGACACAGAGAAGAAGTCAGACGCTGTTAAAGTCAACAGCATCTTCTTATAGCACTGGCTGAGTTCCCCCCTCAGAGACACAGAGTCTATAATCCGTAGTTGGTTTACTGTAATTACTGAAGACATCAAGCTGTAATCATGACTCCACCTCATCCAACCTCCCTGTCTGTCTCCTCAGCTCACCTTCTCTTCTGTTTCCCAGGAATAAGACTTTCCTTTCCTTAAAGTTTCTGTTCTCTTTCCTTTTAATAGCACATTATATAATGACACATCCAGGAAAATGTTACATAAATCTGAACCACCATGTGTTCAATTCAATCCAAATTTGTAGTTCAGTTGTACACAATGAATCATGAAGCTGTGCTGTAGAACATCTTATAATTTGTTGCACTCAAAGCATTAGTGGTATGAAAATACATCCATGATGCGTGAGAGAGTGAGCAGTGTGGCTTTTACAACTTGGGTGATCAGCATTGTTCATGCTGCTGGTTGTGAAATACAGTGACAATGCTGTCCTGTTGTTTGACACCAGCACTGATCAGACATGTACACAAATAATATTAAATTATCTGAGAAACAAACAAACAGAATATAATAGCTGCACCAATTTCAACACCACTGTCTGAAATGTTAAACAAAGGAATCTTGCAAGATTTATCACAACTTTATAACCTTCAACCCTTTCAACGGAACAGGTTTAAAATAACATGTACAGTTCACATTGTACAGCATACAAAGGTGGCTACTGATCTAACAAAGACCAAACTATAAATCTATATAACCAGTTCATGTTTACTTTGGGCCGGGCTTTTCAAAATGAGCTGCCTTTTGAATTTGTGTCATTCCTACCAGTAGACTTGTTACCCTAGTACGTGCCTCACACAAAACAGATGTGCTATATTTACTGTGGGTTACTGTATTTCAATGACGTGTACAAAGAGAATACTTTTATTTGGGTGTCACAAAACAAATAGCTCTTGAACGTCTGAAACCATGATTTAAAACATAATAACATGATGTCAAATGGAAGGAAGAACATTGTAGTAAGATAATACAGGAGGCTTAAATGGTTTAACTTGATTTAGGAAATAGGTTCTGGTCTTTCCATGGTAATGGACTTTCATTTCATTTTTTGCCACACCTGCCTAAAACAAGTGCAGACAGGAAAATACAGTCTATCGTCACTTGCATTAAGTTAATATTACATGTGAGTTTCTTTAAGAGCTTTTAAGAGCTTTCCTGTAAATGTATGCTCTCAATGAAGAACTGTTGATTAAGGTCCAGTGTGTAACATTCAGGAGGATCTATCGGATCTATGGAATATAATATTATAGGTATGTTTTCATTATCACCTGGAAATAAGAATTGTTGTGTTTTTGTTACCTTAAAATTAGCTGTTTTTGTCAATTTTTATTTTATTTTACAGACCACCATGTGTCTACGGAAGCCCAGAATGAACAAACCAAAAACTGGCTGTAGACTTTTCATGTTTTTCACGTGTTTCGCAACCACTGCAGTTTCTTCTACACACTTCACAGTCTGCTCTCATTCCAAGCATGTCAAATACAATGTGAGTGGTGTTCAGTTGGTTGAAATCCGCAACTTCACTGCTAGATGCCACAAAATCCTACACACTGGACCTTTAAGGAAATACAAAGCTAATAAATAATCACAATGTTCTCACGTTGTCACAGCAACATTGCTGAATGCTGAAAGTAGGACACTATGAGCTGATGTGCTAGACTTCATGTCACAAAAAGTTTCAAGCCATATGCTACCAAAGGTAAATGAGTTCAGCCATAGGCCAACAAGGTAAGTGGCAACAGAGCCACCTGACATGTGACAGGACTGTTATCAAACAGGACTATATCCTATTTGCAGGTCTGACTTAGCTGCAGCGCCTGGGAGGCAGATCACAGTTTCTGGAGGTTCCCGGTGGTGCTGCACTGTTACTGAATGGGATATTGCTGGAAAAATGGGGGAAACGTTAAACTAAATTTGTTGAAGCTAGACAGATGAAGAGAGACGGCATATGGGATCATTCTGGAAGAAGCTCAGGCAGGTGACTGAGGACAAAATGCTGTGCTTCAGTAGCACTCACACCAAATGTCTGCCAGATGGAGGAGTCATCCACTTCTCTGAGGTCAGACACAGTTTATTTCTTTAGTAAATCATTAAGTCATTATCATCCCTGTAGACCCCCAGGGTAAATACATACATAAATATTTTTTATCTGGATTTATTCATCTTACACTCTGCCCTTAACATATAGTAGGCCTCTAAACCTGCCACATGCAAAATATGAAGATTTTTTAGGTTTTATTCCAGGCAGCCATAAATTACCAGTCCAAATGTATAACTAGTGTTGTTTTGTCCACTGGCACATTTAGAGAAATGTTTTTAAGATGAACAACCCGTGTCATAGCAATACAACAACAAGATAAAATAAGACGAGCTAAGATAAGATTTAATTGATCCCCAGCTGTGAAATTTAGCATTTCAGTAGCAGGAAAAGCAGGTCAAGGAAAAGAAAAGTTTTTCCTTATATTGCTGATAATTAGCAATATATTAGATTATTCAAACTGGGGTCTGGGGACCAACAGGGGTCTTTTGAGTGGGCTGTAGGGGGTCCTCAGCAAAAGTAGGAATACAATATTTTATCACTTTTTTAAAGTTGGAACAACAAGAGAATACGATTGTTTATATCGATTGTAATTTATGGTGATCCTATAGCTTGGTCATTGATTGACTAGGAAGACTTTTAAACCACCTATGAAATGCATATTTATATATAAATGTGTATATTGAGAATGGCAGAATAGGGAAAAGTTTCCAGTAAAAAGACCTACTGAACATCTAAAATAATACAAAATGTCCACAATGACTTCTGCTTCCTGCATCCTGATTTATCATTCAGTACATTCCATTTTAATGAGGCGCAGGCATGTTGAAGACCTGCAGGGTTCAACTTTAGTACCTGGACAGACAGGCAGACACACACACACACACACACACACACACACACAGACACACACAAGGGTTTATATATCAGGAA